CTGTTGTTAGATGCTATTAGAATGGGAGAGAGGGAAGGCAGATGGAGGTCGTGCAAGTAGGAAAAAGGTCATGCTGGTTCGCTGAAATGGGTGTGATACAAGAGAGAGTCCATGTAAATCGTGGCTTTAGCAGAATGACTTTTCCCTCGTGTAGGACAACCTAGTCTAGCCTCCCATAATTCATATAAGTTATTTATATGCATTATAAGCCAGGCATAGCTTCCATGCACTTTGTACTCATTTTAGCAGAGCCCTTGTGTATGCTTTGCTTTTACTCTGTTTTAAACATTTCTAGACTTCCTTTCCGAGGCTCAAAGTAGCTTACAAAACTTAGTGAAAATGGGTAAAATACATAGGAAATGCAGAGAAGGAAGGTGCACAGCTTGCTGCCTTACGATGAGTCAGACCCTTGGTGCAGCCAGCCCTATACTGTCGACACTGACTGGCAGTAGCTCTCCAGATTTCAGGCAGGAATTTTTTTCCCACCTGGAGATGGTGGGGATTGGACTTTGGGCCTTCCACTTGCAAAGCACGTGTTCTGCCATTGAGTTATAGCCATGACAACATTAAATGGAAATCCAGTAAGAGAAGGACCTAGGGCAGTGGTGGCGAACCTATGGCACGTGTGCCACAGTAGGCACACAGAGCCCTTTCTGTTGGCACGCAAACCAAGTTCCTCAGCATCCTCCCAGCAGCCGAGCATCAGAGAACAGTGCACATAGCGGTCATGCGCATGCTCGGAAAGGAGTAGCAGCGTCAGGCGAAGACGTCACAAGATGTCCGAACTTTCGCATGGCCGGTCAGTGCGCTGCCAAGGATATATATTTATATTTGGTTGGACTGGCTAGGAGGTGTTTTTTCTAAACTAAAACCTCAGTTTTCAGGTTTTCTTGCAGTGTTGGTTAAACCAGGGTAGGTTTAAGGCAGTGGTGGTGAACCTATGGCATGCGTACCACAGCGGGCCTGCAGAGCCATCTCTGTCAGCACGCGAGCCAGATCACGCCAGCATTGCCCCAGCATCCGAGCATCATATATGAGCGCATGTAAGGGCCATGCACATGCTCAGAAATAAGTAGCGGCGCCACGCAATGATGTCACGAGCCACGTCTCATTAGCTGTGACTCATCCGAGCTTTCACATGGCTGGTCAGTGTGCTGCCAAGGAGAGAGAGAGAGAGAGAGAGAGAGAGAGAGAGAGAGAGAGAGAGAGAGATGCATGCTTGGACTGGCTGTGGGTTGTTTTTATTAAACTAAAGCCTCAGTTTTCAGGTTTTCTTGCAGTGCTGGCACTTTGCGATAAATAAGTGGGGTTTTGGATTGCAGTTTGGGCACTCGGTCTCTAAAAGGTTCGCCATCACTGACCTATGGGAAAGGATATACCTTGCAGTCCTCCCTGGAAGATTGTAAGGATGGGGAGCAACACTCCTCTTGGAGGAATATCCGTCCACAGCTCTGGATCAAGGGATGTCAAGGCCCTCTTCTCCCTGCTACCATTCTTACTTTGGGCGAAGCAGAGCCTGAGCGCATGGCCTAAGCATGAGGGTTTATACAGGGTGAGGTGAGCTCTGAAATATATAAGCCTGAAGCTGCAGATCGTTGTGCCTGGAAGCATAGGGGGGCAGCTAGGAGATATATAGGCCTCAGTAAGCTGCATTATACAAAGTGAGGCTCTTTCTGGGAGTGAGGATGTGCTGCAACAGCAAAACTGAGCTTTGTTAAAGGCCTGTACATCACCTCTTTAGCAAATACGCTTTTAACCAGGGCTGAGCTGCAAAAGCCCTGCTCTTTGGAGGTCTCTATGAACTAGTCAGTTGTGATGTGGGCTGGACGTAGCATTGTGGGTGCTTGGCAGAAGTAAGCCCCCAAATCCTAGATTTTATCTCTGCTGCTGCTGTTGTTCAGAACTAGTTTTAAACTGCCCATTCTTGGAAGATGGTGCTGTTGTCCAAGGCTGGGCATCTGCTGAAGGCGCCCTCCCCAGCAGGGCCCACTCGCCTGAGATGCCTGCCCTGCTTTTTCACTGCTGCAACCTGCTTCTTCTCCTTTGCTCTGGCCCAGCAATGGTGGTGATGCTTCTCCGTCTGCCAAGCTTATGTGTGGTTGCAAGTGGCGGAAAAGAGGATGGCAGGTGATAGCAGTGAGTGACAATGGGGCCAGGAATAGCTGCGTGTCTCTTGCATACTGGGAAAAGTATACAACGTTCTGTTACCCTTCAGTGTTACTCCTGGTAATCTTGGCAGGCAGTACATCCTAAAAGGAGGCTCATGTCCTCCAGATTCCTTGAAGGTCTTGGGATCTTTTGCTGGGATTTCATGTGTTGGGCCAGAGGGAAACACACCCTAGCCTTGCACTCTCTTTCTCTCTCACACACACAACACACTACACAAACACAGCAATGGAAAGCTTCTTTAGAAGAAAATGTAGAGCAGATGCAGGTTTTTAATTTGAGGTTTTCTGGCAGCAAACAATCTTTTTTTTAATCAATCTTGCTCTATATTTCTAAGAGGTGAAGAGCCCTCTGCCTAACAGGCTTGTAGATGAGAGAAGCTAACAGAGGGAGAAGGAATCCAAGCCTGCTGCTTGTTTGTCAGTTGTGCGCTTAGTAGACTCTGGACAGCAGTCTTTGCCTGAACAGGAAGCGTGCAAGCATTCCCTCTGCCAGGACCATCTGTGTTCAAAGCTTTCCCACTTTTCTGAGCCCCTGGTCCTTTAAATCTTTCCCTCTGTACCTGCTTCTGTGGGAATGGGAAGGCTCCTATTATTTCTCAGATTTATGCTAATTGCCGGATGGGTGCTCTACTGCTCTTGATGACCGTATCTATTTCTGAATGACATGTCTGTTTTCTGTGGGTAAAAAGGTTGTCTGTGTTTGCTGGCTGCTATTGATGGGGCCATTTCTAGGTGCTGGTTTTTCTTTCCCTCACCTCTTGATGACTCATTGAGCTCCCTCAAGACAATGGTAGTTATTTTGCTTAATTTCTTTATGGGGAAAATCTGTTCAGCCTCCTTCAGCATGAATTACAGCATTCATTATTCATCATTCACTCTTATCTTATTCACACTGCCTAGTCCAGGTCAGAACACACGAGTCCTGGAGTCCTGGCTCAATCAAGCCAGAACTTTCCCTAGAAGCAAAAATGACAAAACTGAGGCTGTCCCTGGAGAAGACCATCATGCCATGGAAAGTCATAGGCAGAAGAGGAGAAGGAAGACCAAGTATGAGATGGATTGATTGCAAAAAGGAAGTCATTGCTTTGAATTTAGAACAGGGATATCATAGGACATTTTGGAGGACTTTCATTACTTAACAGCAAACAACATCAGCCCAAATTAGTAGGCCTTCCCCTTGAACACCAGCTTGCCCAGTGGGTCCCACGACCTGGGAGCCTGTCCTCATGGCACTTGGCGCAGAACCAAAATTGAGCTCAATTATATACACATGGTACAACTGTAAGACCATGAAGCATCACAATACCAAGAAATCAGGAGCATTAAAATAGCAGCGCAAGCTAAATGTAAGCTAACACAACCCCTTAAAATGTCTGGTAAGTTTTAGCCTGCTGCTAAAATTGCTGTGTCATCGCTAGTCAAGTTTGAATAGAGAGGGCATTCCAGAGATGGGTGTCGCTACAGAGAAGGCTAGTTCCTGCATAATGAATTTCCCCAGTAAAGGAAAATGGAGAAGAGCCACATCTGAAGATCTTAAGACTTGCATCTTCCAGGCCCTTCAGTTTCCTTAAAGTGTGACCACCCCAATAGAACATTTAGAAAAATTATTGTAAGCTGGTTTGAGTTTACAACAGTTAATAATCTGTCTACGCATTCATGCATACTATAGTCAATTAAGTAATTCTATCCAAGCCAGAACATTTTACAAAGAATGGGGCCAAAATCCTGGCATATTTTGAATTAAAGTTCTTACTGCCAGTAACTAAACCTTAGAGAGGCATTTTTACCACAGGAAAAAAAATACGCAAAAGCTGGGAAAACCACGAGATGACCAAGGGTCAGGGGAAAGAAGGTGGAGCCAGTGGAAGGGGTGTGGCCATCTAGCAACCCTGTGGGAGCTGGGCTGGGGCACCAGGTGGGTCCGTTTGTGCCCACTGGCCTGAGCTGCAACATTTCTGCCCTATAGAGTTGTTCTCTTTTTGAACTAGACCAATATCTGTGGGACGGGACGACGAAAAACTACATGAAGCTTTATAGCATTTCACTGATGTACCGTGTCTGTCGGGAGTAAGAAAGATGGCTGCTTAGGTGCACATTCTCAAGGGCTACTGGCTGATCACTGGAAGAATCAGAATTGGAAGGAGAAGGGGGAGAGGAGCAGGACGGGGCCTGGGAATTTGGTCCAGTTCCTAATACTGAAATGAGAGAAGCAGAGATGCTTATTTCAAGGCCAGACTCCCCAGGTGGGCAGACAGTCCCTGGGAAGATGGACAGTTGGCAGGCGGGAACTTGGAGCAGGAGAGTTTCTTGGACTCAGACAAGGCAGGCATGACTCTGGATCCCGTGATGCATCATCAGCAGAGGAGGTGACCGTATTAGAGACTTGGTGTGCACAGAGGAGGCATGCTTGCTTTCAGGATGCCCCTCCCAAAGGGATGGGGGCCAGGCATGCTCATAAGGAGAGTTCCTGGAGGTGACTATTAGATTGAGTTCCACAAACCACTCTGTGCATGCTCAGAGATTTATTCTGGGTGTTTTGTGCTTTTGGTCGATAAAGAATATTTGTTAGGAAAGGTCTGTGGCTTTGAATGTGCAGAGGAAGAACCTCAACTCCTGACGGTGGCCAAGTAAAATGTATTCTTGGCATTCATAACCAGTACAGTTTTGGCAATCATAACCAGAACAACTTAATGAGATGTTGCCCTGTCAGATCAGACTTTCTGAGAAATGGAGTGAAGACTCAGCACTGTTTTCCCTCAGTACTTGCCAGAGAATGGAAAATGGCTTGTTGGCCCTCTCCGAATTAATGGTCTCTTTTCTCCTGTCTTCCAGGGGTGTTGTAAAAGTGGACATAAACCTGCAGAAAGTGGACATTGACCAATGTTCCAATGAAGGCTGGTTTTCTGGGACTCACACGTGCCATTTAAATAGCACTGAGGTAAGAAGACACAGGATGGAATTTAATACACGTTTTGTGCATTTTGTAAGTTGCATGACACAAGCCTTGTCCTCATTGCCCTGCACTCATCATGGGTTGTTCAAGGTTCCCCCGGCATAGAACATTTGAACAGAGGAAGCGTGTGGTCGATAACGGGGTATCCATAGATGGCTGTGGTAATGAATGGGCCACAGCAAACAAAGGTAGCCATGGTGGCCATAAGGCAAATTCCAAAATCTGTATGAAAATAATGCTTTTATGAGGTCAACTTAGAGGTTACAAAAATGTGCAAACTTTCCAGGTCTCTTCATCAGGCAAGAGGTCACCAAATTCAGATGAAACGGGAAAGGAAGGGGCTGCAAACATTCTCATCAGGCCAGTTGATGCGACAGTTTCCAGGTGTACCCTGAGAATGCTGGGAGCAACTCTCATTTGTTTGGTGTTTGTTCACAGCAGTGCTGGGGACTGCCCCAGGTGCGGTGTGAAACCATCCTCTCCCTTGGTAGAGCCAAATCGGAGGTCTGTATCCCAAGCCCTCTCCACCTCAGCCTCAGCGTGCCACCTTGCCAGCTTCATGGCTTCAACCTCAGCCTTTACACCCACTTGCTTTTATAGCATCTTGCCCGAAGAAGGGATTGAGAGTTAGCACATTTTTGTGATCTCTGCATTGATGTTGTAATACATGGGCTGATCTTTCCAAGTTGGGGAGAGATTTAGTAACCTTTTAAAAATATGGCATGTACGATGATGCAGCTTCTGAGAAGAAATACACGAGGGACTTGTCCTCAGCAGTGCTGTCTCCAGTTTTGAAGGCCCTTGGCCAGGGCTCCCTGCATGAACCCCCTCCCCCCAGGGTGAGTCTCTGTTCTCTTGGCCGTTGGCACCAATTCCCTTTGCTTCTCTGCTTTCTCAGCCCTGCTACTGTTGGCTTGCTTGGCTGGCAGAGGGCATCTCCCTTCTCTTGCCTCTTCAGGTGTCTGTGCTGTAAACAAGCAGGTTGCAGTGCTGAAGGAGAGGCAACTCTGGGGGCATTGTCTGGGGGTCTCTGCTGCAGTGGGGCCCCAGTCAGGTACCCCCCATGACCCCAGCCTGGGTCCTCTGCATAGCAGAATGCCCATGAATGGCAAAACAATGTGCTCTTTAACCTTGATCTGGCATTTACCAAGGTTTTGCTTAAAGCGTTTGCTTTGGTTAGCTGCATATGCAGGATTCTCCTGAGGTTTGTGACGTAGGAAGCCTGACTTTTCAGGCAAGTTGAAACTTGAACTGTGGAGGATGAGACAAAAGCTGCCATGGCTATTAATAGAGCACCTTTCACCAAGAGAGCACCCTGCAGATGTGCTGGGCTCCAGCTTCCATAATCCCAAACCAATGTGCCCATTTGTCATGCTGACTGGGGATTATGGGAGCTGCACTCCAACACATCAGATTGGCAAAGGCTCGAATTTTAAAAAAATCAAAAAGCTCTCTCTCCCACACTCATGCACATATACACAGTCAATCATATACACTCTGCAATGAGGGCTGATAGCTACCAAGACCCTTATTCTGGTTTCAAGCCAGCTTCCAGCCATGCATCCCAGAGGAAGAAGGATGGTCAAGGAACAGGGCTGTGGTGGACAACTCACCCCTCCTGGCTTTCAGATGGTTTGTTCCAGCGTTGCCAGATGCATGACCCAGCTGTTGGTTCTTACCCCTTTCCCCGGTTGTGAGTGGCTCAAGGCCTCACTCTTTCATACCCTCTGCGTTCTTGGATGCAGGCTGTCAGCACATGGGCAGAGAACCTCTGTCCTGTAATGTTCTTCTGGAGGTGACACAGGATTGTGTCACCTGACCTGGCATTGTTCTCAGACTGGGGAGTTTAGATTTGGCCAGTTGGTTGTTATGTGTTGCTGTCCTCTTAACCTTTGGCATTGATGAGGCTTTCTTTGCCTGTTGCAGCAAACCTTGTGCTAGAACAAATGTCACACGGCTTCTTTCCCTACAGCAAGAGTGTCTCCTTTGAGTTGTCTATTCAGGCATGATTGCACAATTTAAAGTTCAATGGTTAAAAACAGAATTCATATAAAAAGAGTGAAAGGCTTAAGATATTTAAGGTGGTAGTCTAACACCACCCAATAGCTGGGTGGCATGTTGAGACAGAAAAATGTCCTCAGACTCCCCACAGCCAAGATAGCTTGCTGGGGAATGCTAGGAGTTCTAAAGCTGTTTTCTGTCTAAGCATGCATACATTCATGCAACCCATGACTTGTGCTATAGCTGCAGTTCTCCGGGTAAATTATGCCAATAGAAAATGAAATGTAGTAAAATCCAGTGGCTAGTATCCAGTGTTGGTCCTATATACTGAAATAAGTGGGATGGATGTACATCTGATTCATTTTAATGGGTCTGCTCTAAGTGGGACTAACATTGGATACCATCCGATGCAAAATGCTAAGATTAGCCATTAGCACAGTTTAAAATAGCTGTGAATGAAATGTCAAAAACAAGAATGAAATGTCAAAAACAAGAAATACTAACACACACACAAACGTGCAAAAAAAAAAAATCAGTAGAGAGAGAGAAGCAGCTCTAAGGTGCGATTGAAAGCTACAACAGAGCAGCGAGTGAAAAAAGGTTAAAAACCCTAAAAGAACGGTGTTGTGGCCTAGTATGGAAAAGTCATCTGAATAAGGGCCGGGTGGACCTTTCTGGGGAGCACCTTCCACAGTTGTGGGGGAAGCTTCCACTGATGAGGCCTTTCAGCATGCCTGGGCATTCAGATGGAGGGGCGCTGATGCTGATCTCAGCGCATGTGCAGAACTGTGGGAGAAGGCAGTCCTTCATGGGACCCTAAACTGTGAAGCGTTTCTAGATTAAAAACAGCCCTTTGAACTGAACCAAGAAACAAATAAGGAGCCAGTGAAGATGGTCTCATATTGGTGGGATATGATCAGATCATGACATCAGCACAAACTCTACTTCCACCTGAGGCACAGGAGCTGCTACCAGCTGGCCTTGCTGCCTTCCTCTTCCTCCTCTCCTGACTGCTCACCTCACTCGCTGCTTCTGACTTCCTGCTTCTTTCACCCTCTGCACTTGCCTTCCAGCTGGTGTCCCTGTGCCCTGCCCCACTGGCCTGTCTCCCTCCTACCTCCTCCCGCCTTGCCACACTGCTGCCACCCACTCTGCACAGTGACCGAGCTCCTTGAGGAGTGGCTTTGGCCAGAAAAAGGCTGGCACAGTGCTTCGGAGAGGCAGTTGTACCTAAATGCCAGGCCTGAGGGCTTCTTCCTGCAGGCCATCTCGGGGGAATCTCTCCTTCCACCAGGCTGCCATGTGGGGAAGCACCCCTCAGAGCCAGGCATTTGGGCCTGGCCACCTCTCTGAAGAGTCTCATTGGTCACTTTTCGAGCTGGTGCAGCTCTTCAGAGGGCTTGGCTTCTTGCTGCCTTGCTCTGGGAGGATCTACAGCTCAGGGACGGCAGGGTGGGTGATGGAGAGAAGGAGGGAAAGGGAGACTTGGCAGTGGCCGCAGCAGCAAAGGAAAGGAGTCTGGTGGTGGCTTGAGGCCCACACTTCGCTGCCGCCGCCATTCTGCTGCCTGATTAAGGGCTTTGATCTGGGAGGACCAGCCCTGCCAGTTCCAAGCAGTGCTCTCGCTGCCATGTTTTGCACTAACTGCAGTTTCTGGAGTATCTTCAAAAGCAGCCCTATGTACAGCAGATTGCAGTAGTCTACTTTTTTTAAAGGCATAGATCTGATCAAAAATGGTTGTGGGGCAAAGCCCATTATATTATAAAAACAATACATTAATAATAGAAGAACTTGAAAACTCATTGCAAGACCATGCTGAAAACATAGTAAAAAGATACCTTAACAAGTTCAATGCAAGGATCAACTTCTTTCAAAGACTTTCCAGATAATTCCTCTTGTTTTGGTTTTAAAAAATCAACACAAGCAAAAGCCTGTTACTTGTGAAAGGCTTGAATGTTATAAATAGCTGTAATTATCTTACTGCGTAATGTCTGAGCGATGGAGAGCATTAGAAACAGAATTAATTATAGCACAAACCCAACAAGCCTTACAGGTTTTTTAAATGTTGGTTGACAACATGTTGTCCTCCTAGCCTTGAGTATGTGGGACCTGATCTGCACTTATCTACACAAAGCTTGTATCTTTGTAGGTAAAGCAAATATTGCAGAAATGACACAAATCTCTAGTGCTTTCGGCTCTGAAGCAAAGAAAAACCTGGACAGCAGCCCCTGTTGCTCAAATTACAAAGGGGCCAGGAGCCACACTGGATCTGAATGATGGCGTCCTATAAAGGTTTAGACAAAGGAAAGACCTCCTGGCTTTGGTGGGAAGTGTACGAATTTGGGGTTGTGCTCCTAAGACACTGCCCAGTATAACTGCCTGTAACCCTCTGAACCCTTGAAGGATGATGGGCATTCAGTGGAGGGCACAGAGGGGAGGGTTGAGCCAGTGCTGCTTTTGCCATCCAGTTGTGGTTGTCTAAACATTTTATGCAGATTCATGAGAACTGGAGCTGGAGGCGCTCTCAGGGGTCCTCACAGGATGGTGGTGCCTCTCTCCTCCACTTCCAGCCCCCTTCCCCAGTGCTGGCTCCAAGGGTGGTCCTGCAACCTCAGAGCTGCAGACAGCACAGAAAGCACATAGGAAGCTGCAAGGATGAGGGAGGGGGCTCTGATTCAGAGTCCTAGTTCCATCTTCAGAGCACTTCTCTGATGTTGGTGTTGGGATTCTGAATTATCCTCGACCTCCTCTGGCAGTCACAGGGTTTCACCACTGGGTACCTTTTCCGGAAGCTTTTTGAACAGGATGGGAAGCATGGCCTGGTAAGTCAGATGTGGCCCAGAAGGGTGGGGTGAGGAATTCTCTTCTCACCTGTTGGTTTCTCTTCAGGTCCCTACTGCCTCTCCCCGCGATATCCAGCTCCTTCCCCAAACCAGTAACTCTTCTCTTCCATCAGAAATAAGAGGCTGCAAGTTTCTTATCTC